GAACCGCAGACTGGAAGCGGGTCACTGATGTGAGGCCTTTAAGGCCTGACAAGATTCACGCCTCTCAGGATGAGCTTGTCCAATGAGAAAGGCTGAAATTCCAAGCGGGAGTTTGGAAATACTGGGGAGTTTTATGACCCTTTGTGTGAAAGCATGGTAATTTGCATATGGAACTTGAATCGAAATTACTAAAGATTCTCAGAACACTAATATATTGCCTATGTACCAACATATAATATACACTCTCGTTTAGATCATCAGAAGACGAATTCATAGATACTAAACATGGTAGGATTACATATAGGTAAGGTTGCATGAACGAGTGGTTGAAACAGTATACAATATAAAAGACAATATACAAGGACAGTAACAACATACACAATGACCTGAAGGATATGCGTGTTCATTCAAAGAAAGGTTTTCCTATGAATTAATTAGAGTTTCTCTATCCGCATTCCTTTGGGCAATAAAACCAGTGATATCAGCATTGGTTGCCATGGAATCAGAGGCCTGTTCGTTCGCAGACATCCTGGCACCCAGCATGTTTATTGGGTGAGGGGTCTGTGATTATTTGTTAATCTAATGAATGATTGATTTGTTAAATCAAATGAAAAATGGTGTGTCTGATTGGTCCAGACGCTACAATAGTATCTACAGCTCTAATGTTTGTGTAACTACACATATGTATCAACACACTGAATGGTATGTGTAAGTACAAATGTGTAACAGGGCATTGGTAACAACACTTTTTGGTAATGAAAGTACAAATGTGTAACAGGACTAACAGCACTTTTTGGTAAAGAAAGTGTTACACTTTATATTAAATTTATCATATAATTACTCAGATGTTACACAGCAGCGGCCAGTAAGTTAGGCTTTACATATAAATTGTGTTTGGTGTCCAGAATGTTACACTTTATATTAAGTGGGCAGTTCCTGAGGAGTTACCATGTAAGCATACTGGCATTACAGTGGTGCACCAACTCCAACTCGAGATCCAACTCCTCCCACATTACATATCCCTAAACCTACCCATCTCCACACCCTGGATCCCATTTCCACCCCTAAACCTACCCATCTCCACCCCCTTGATCAAATGGTTCTAATTACTCTTATGCATATTGTTGTTACAAAATGTAGTTATGTAGATACTATGTACCAATGTGTACTTACACTGTGGTTACATACTACGTACACATTTAGTTACTATGTAAGTACACAGGTGTTAGGGACACTTAATATAAAGTGGGACCAAATTTGAAATCACCTTAAGAGTACTAGGGCTAAAGATGTTTTTGATTGTGATTCTGTATTTGTTAAAAAGTATGTAAATGTTCTTAGTACACCTATTACTCATTTGGTTAATTTGTCAATAAAACTATTTTATTTTCCAAATGCCTGGAAGTCAACAATAATAATGTCTATATAAGACTGGTGATCCTGCTAATATAACTAATTATAGACCTATCAGTATTCAGTTTTTTCTAAAATAATTGAAAAAGTAATTTGTAACCAATTAGTATTTAAATCTTGGTCACTTTCCATTACATCCTATGCAGTTTGGATTTAGGGCACATCATACGGAGACAGCAAACTGTTATTTTGTGGATCAAATTAAATCCAGTCTTGATAGAGGGGGTGTTGTTGGTGCTGTCTTCTTGATTTTAAAAAGGCTTTTGACACCTTTAATCATAATGTTCTTTTATCTAAATTATCAAAGTAAAATGTTTCTATTAATACGTTAACATGGATGGAATCATACATAAATTTAGGAAAACAATGTACAAGAATCAATGATGATATCAAATGATATACTGTATGCTCACTATTTCTTGACTAACACTGGAGTCCCACAAGGGTCGATTCTTGGACCAATTTTGTTTAGTTTATATATTAATGATCTACCTACAGTTTGTCTAGAGGTCCAGATTCAGATGTATGCAGATGATACAGTTGTTTATACTTATGCTAAGACAAAAGAACATGCTACTCTCAAACTAACTGCTGCATTGATCAAAGTCTCAGATTGGCTACGTCACTCTTGCCTTATTCTTAATGTGAGAAAAACTCTGGGAATGCACTTTTTGATTAAGAGAGTTGGTCAAAAGGAGAAGTAATAAATATTGTTGAGCATTTTAAATATTTTGGGATTATTATGGATTCTAATTTAAATAATTTTTAAAAAACATATAAAAAAGGTTTCTAGAAGTGCTAGAGCAAGCTTGATGATCTTCAGGAATATTAGGCACCAATTACCTATGGCTGCTGCTAAACTCTTTATGCATACAATGATTCTCCCACATCTTATTGTGCTACAAGTTTGTCCCAAACAAGTATAACCACGTTAAAATCATTATATACTATTTATAAACAAGCTGTGAAAATTTTAGCTAAAAAGCCAAGGATTTATCATCATTGCATTATTATTAAATATTGTAAATTATTGATGTTTGATTTTTTTTTTTCTTTGCAGATGTGTGTTTGATGTATAAACTAATTCATGATCTTGCACCACCACCTCTTAAACAATGTGTGACTTTCTGTAAGGAGAATAGTAGGGTGATTAGGTCATCAGTTAGAGGTGACTGCTTGGCTAAATTTAAGAAAACTGTCTTTGGAGAATCAGCTTTTTTAGTTAGAGCAGCAGAAAGATGGAAGTCAGTTCATATAAGAACAGGTTCATATTAGAGAGTGTACTGTACAACATTCAGTATTTTTAAAACTACACTTAAGGTATGGCTTAAGGAAAATCAAATATGTGATCACTGATCAGATTTTTTAATTCTGTTGATTGTGATATTGTATGTATTGGATTGTTTGTAATGGAGTATTGTAATTTTGTAACAACATCCTGCCCAGGGACTGCAGATGCAAATTAGCTCTATAGCTAACTCTGGCACAACACTTGGGCACATACTGAGTTTCATAATAAAATGCCAATGCGTTCGTAAAATATAGCATTTAACGACAATACTCAAAATGGCCAATGCCCAAAATGGCTGACATGGAAAACTTGGGTATGGTTCAACTCGGCATGCTGCACTGAATATAAAGAGACCAGTGATTTTTGGCCAAACCATTCAGAAGTTATAAGCAAAAATTGCCACTTTTCATGTCTCCTGACCACTAGGTGGCGCTGTGCCGAAACTGTGCTGGTAGCCTCAGGTCATGGTTATTATAACGCATTAAATTTGGTCCCAATAGGCTAAACCATTGCGGAGATATAGCTTCACATCCATTTTTGCATGATCTTCGTCAAATTCATTCATATGTTATTCAAAAACGGTTTGAATATTCAACTTGAATTCCATAATTTTTTGTCAGCATGGTGTGAAGATGATCTGAGCCAATATTGGTGAAAATAAGACAAAAATCTTGACCCATAGAATTTTTAATTTTGGTGTCCATTCAACTTGACAGGAGGCAAGGAATCAGAGGGAAATTTTATTTTCTGTCTGAACTTTATGGTTCAAAAATTATTAGCATAAACATAAGTGCAAATTTGGACAGTTGGTGGCACTAGAGAAATTGAGCTAGAGACTCCAAACTTGCTATGGTGACCGATCAGACTGTCGTCTATCTGTGTGGCAAATTTCCTAACTTTTCCAGAAATGATTCTATGGGCTGCCATGGACTTCCAGAGCGGACGAAGAAAAAGAAGAACGCGAACGGAGACAATAGGGGCCATAGCACCTTCAGTGCTTGGCCCCTAATAATCCTTAGAAAAACAATCAGGCCCCCTTGTTAAAGCCATCTTAATTTTGCCTTAAATTGTCTTTTTGAATTGAGTAGAATATGTAAAATTTATTGAGATTGTGATTGCAATATA